TTCCTAAATATACTTACACACTGTGCTGGTGTGCAGATACACATTAAAATCGCTATGTCTCTCTCTACTCATGACGCCAATACTACGTAATAATAATCACTCTTGGGCACACTAAATGTCTTATTTTACATCAATATAGGCATTTTCATTAATTCATCTATGATATTTTCCTCAAAATTATATATAAAACCCATTACATAGCATATAAACATGATACATACACTCAAAGAATAAAAATTGATGTAAATATGAGATTTGTTTACAAAGCAGCTGTGTAGGTAGTGTCGGAAGAATTACGTTTTCTCTAGTTAAACTGGGGGATGACTTTAGAAAAATATTCTTTTCATATGCCTTTACTCTATATATAGCAATTCACGACCCTTGTGGGTTTAGTGCTTTTTATAATAATAATAATAATAATAATAATAAAAATAATATTATTATTATTATTAACCCTTTGACTGTTTCAGGCCCCTTTCTGAAACTGTCACTCAATTTTTTAAAAAAAAAAATATTATTTTTTCTTATGAAATGATAGAGAATCTTTTCCCAATGGTAATGACACCAAAAGTTCGAAATTTGGTCGAAAACTCATGGAATTATGCTCCCGCGAAGTTAGCGGTCTCGGCGACATATGCGTATCGGCGATTTTGCCGACTGTTGAGCCCTATTTTCAGCCAATTCCATTGTTCCAGTTGACCAAAACTCATAGCTATTTCTTTAGAACTCCATTTTATCTATCAGCTGAGTACAAGAAACCTCCCATTTACTAATTTGGACTACCCAATATGGTGGTCAGAAATTGGCAATTTGGCCAATTTCACACAAACTAAAAAAGATGCCAATTTCAAAATAGGGTCCAAAATAAACAAGGTAGACATTCGTGGCACTAAAATAACATATGCTCTGTTCATTAGTCACATGTCTAGGCCCCTCTTATATTATTATTACTTTCTATTTTGATTTTTTATTCATACAAAAAAATACAAAATTTACTGTTATGCAGACTACTGCATTATTATAAAAATGGTATAAATAATATCAGTGCACTAGTGAAAGAATATTAGACTCCCCAGTTGACGTGTATTGGACGTGTGGTGTGATTTATTTACTCCTGAACATTGGTAAAAATCGAATATTTCCGCTACTTTGAGCTCAGTTTCAAGGTCGTTTTCATCGTCAAAGTAATGAAAATCATCTCTATTTCTGTAAAATGTTTTCCATTTTATCACCTAAGACCATGAAAACGCGAATACAACGATAAATACTATACGAAAGTACACCTCAAAGTCGGCGTTTTATTCCAAAAAAAAACGATCAGTTTTTTTTTTCTCATTACGCAATGTGTGCTGCAGGATTTTTTTATGTGGTGCACACTGACCACACAGACCCATTCTCTCACATGTGGGCCTACCAGCTTTCTCCCGCTTGATTTGAAGCCGCTAGAATTATTGAGTTTATATACGTCAGAAACATTGGCTCGTGAGACGTATTTATACGTCGAAAACAGTCAAAGGGTTAATATTGATAATAATAATAATATTATTATTATTATTATTATTATTATTATTATCGTCATTCACTCTAAAAATGGTGTGTTGCTGTTTGTTTATTCTGAACTAACTTGTACACAATGTAAGAGTATTTGTATTGTGAGGTAATTATTATTAAAATAAAAAAATATTGAGGTAAATGTTTTACAAACTCTTACAAATGGACGTGAATGAACTAAAAGTAGACACATTAATACGCATTTATTTTGCCTGACCAAGTGATCGTCCACTACCTGTTCAGTTTGTGTTCTTACATTGTCTCAACTCTGTATCTCGTTCTCTCTCTTGTTTATTCTTTCGTTAACTAGTTGGCTCTCATTGACGATGGGGTCTTAGGTTAGCTGTAATAAAAAGAGAAGTCGTAAGCCAAGTTAGAGGATGATGGTGTGCCATTCTGATTTTATTCAATAAACACCCTGCCACTCACCTCTCACACATTAATATTAATATTTTAAGGTAAGTAATAAGCGTACTCTGTGTGTATCTTACCTTTTATTGTGTTTTTAATGCCTATTTCTATAGCTAACTTAATATAAGTTAGTGTAAACTTGTTGTCTGGCATTTATTGCATTTTTTTTTTTTTTTTTTTAACAAGTCGGCCGTCTCCCACCGAGGCAGGGTGACCCAAAAAAGAAAGAAAATCCCCAAAAAGAATACTTTCATCATCATTCAACACTTTCACCACACTCGCACATTATCACTGTTTTTGCAGAGGTGCTCGGAATACAACAGTTTAGAAGCATACACATATAAAGATACACAACATATCCCTCCAAACTGCCAATATCCCAAACCCCTCCTTTAAAGTGCAGGCATTGTACTTCCCATTTCCAGGACTCAAGTCCGACTATATGAAAATAACCGGTTTCCCTGAATCCCTTCACTAAATATTACCCCGCTCACACTCCAACAGATCGTCATGTCCCAAGTACCATTTGTCTCCATTCACTCCTATCTAACACGCTCACGCATGCTTGCTGGAAGTCCAAGCCCCTTGGTCTGTAAGTAGTAGGTTGGTAGACAGCAACCACCCAGGGAGGTACTACCGTCCTGCCAAGTGAGTGTAAAACGAAAGCCTGTGATTGTTTTACATGATGGTAGGATTGCTGATGTCTTTTGTCTGTCTCATAAATATGCAAGATTACAGGTATGTCTTGCTACTTCTACTTACACTTAGGTCACACTACACATACATGTACACATTTATTTATACACACTCATCTGAGTTTTCTTTGATTTTATCTTAATAGTTCTTGGTCTTATTACTTTTCCTTTTATATCCATGGGGAAGTGGAATAAGAATCTTTCCTCCGTAAGCCATGCGTGTTTGTAAAAGTCAACTAAAATGCCGGGAACAATGGGCTAGTAACCCCTTTTCCTGTAAAGATTACTAAAAAGAATAAGAAGAATAATTTTATGTGTGCTCTGATAATAATACTTGTGGAGCTGTGTGGTAGCCGAGTGGAGGGACAACATTACGTTTTCTCTGTTCAGCCATCAGAGAAAACATGTATGAATCTGCGTTTGGCCCAGCCACTCCCTCACTCCGCTTTTGTTTACAATTTTCGGCATGAATTATTCATTACTTCTACCTTCGTTTATGATGGCATCTGAAGGTAGTTGTTAGAAATGATTAAATTCAGTGAACAAGGCATGTCAATGTTAATATGGCTCTGGGCCACAGTGTAGGTAGCCGGTAGGTGTAGCCCAGGCGGGCTACACCTACCGGCTGCCTACACTGACTTCCTACAAATAAATACTACTCACCTCTCTTCCTATATTAAGACTACACATATTTTAAGGTAAATGATGAGTGTACTGTATGTGTATTTTACCTCTCTGGGATGTTTTAAATATCGTATATTAAGTATGAGACGGGGAGCCAGGGCTACCTACACCTGGGCAACCTGCACCTGACTTCCTACAAATAAGTACTACTCACCTCTCTCCCTACATTAAGATTACAAATACTTTAAGATAAGTAATGAATTTACTGTGAATGTATTTTACTTTTTGTGTTTTTTTAATGCCTAGTTCTATTACTAACTTAATATAATTTAGTGTAAACTTGTTGTCTGGCATTTATATGCATTTATAAATGGAAAAAATGGCATTCTGCCTTCCGGCGATGTCTGCTTTCCGGCGACAGCCTGGAACCTAACCCGCCGTATAAGTGGGGCCCTACTGTATTTGGGAGTTGACGTGTCAGCAGATGGATTTTTTAAGGATGAGGTTAATCGTAGAATTGATGAAGGAAAAAAGGCGAGTGGTGCGTTGAGGTATATGTGGAGACAAAAATCGTTATCTATGGAGGCAAAGAAGGTAATGTACGAAAGTATAATAGTACCAACACTCTTATATGGGTGTGAAGCTTGGGTTGTAAATGTGGCAGCGAGGAGGCGGTTGGAGGCAGTGGAGATGTCCGGTCTAAGGGCAATGTGTGGTGTAAATATTATGCAGAAAATTTGGAGTGTGGAAATTAGGAGGTGTGGAATTAATAAAAGTATTAGTCAGAGGGTTGAAGAGGGGTTGAGGTGGTTTGGTCATTTAGAGAGAATGGTTCAAAGTAGAATGACATTGAGAGCGTATAAATCTGTAGGGGAAGGAAGGCGGGGTAGGGGTCGTCCTCGAAAAGGTTGGAGGGAGGGGGTAAAGGAGGTTTTGTGGGCAAGGGGTTTGGACTTCGAGCAAGCGTGTGTGAGTGTGTTAGATAGGAGTGAATGGAGATGAATGGTATTTGAGACCTGACGAGCTGTTGGAGTGTGAGCCAGGGTAATATTTAGTGAAGGGATTCAGGGAAACCAGTTATTTTTATACAGCTGGACTTGAGTACAGGAAATGGGAAGTACAATGCCTGCACTCTAAAGGAGGGGTTTGGGATATTGGCAGTTTGGAGGGATATGTTGTGTATCTTCATACGTATATGCTTCTAAACTCTTGTATTCTGAGCACCTCTGCAAAAACAGTGATTATGTGTGAGTGAGGTGAAAGTGTTGAATGATGATGAAAGTATTTTCTTTTTGGGGATTTTCTTTCTTTTTAGGTCACCCTGCCTTGGTGGGAGATGGCCGATTTGTTAAAAAAAAAAAGCATAGCCTAGTAAAGAATATAATAATCATAGCATGATTGTTGTTGTTGTATTAATTTAAATATTAATTTGGAGAAGTTGATTTTAATTCTGTATTGATGACACAATTATTTTTGCTATTAGCTTCAAAAAAAAAAAAAAAACATAAAATTACATGTAGCATTTATTCCTCCATATCATATGATTTGTTCTAATCTCAGCATTTAGCAATATATGTCATAGTTAAAATATTTATTTTGTTTGAAACAGGGAAATTAAAATAGGGAAATTCTCATTGACAAAACTTCAACTATTGCAATAAACTAAATGTTTTATTTTTATCTTCATGATTACTTAATAATAATTTTTTTCTTCTAAAGGTAGCACAAATGAACAGTTGCTTGCAGCTCAGTTAGCACTAGAACGTGTGGTAATGTCGCACATCTACATACATGCTCTTTATCCTAATGGTGATGGAGATGTATCCAGGGATCAGTGAGTTTACTCTTGTTCATGAACTATTGTCATTTAAACCACACACACATGCTTCCTTCTATGTATTGTTCATTATACTTGTGGAATCCAGTGAATTCCCAAGAATTGTACTCTCCCTCATTTAAACGTAGCTTGTAAGTCCTCTTTTCCATACTATTACATGTGTGTGCTTTTTGCACTAATCCTTTCGCTCCAGATTTTTTTTTTATTTATGCTTTCCACACCCACCACACAGTCCCATTCTCTCATGTCTAGGCCAACATTTCCTGATCACAGCAAATTGAAGGGTCTTGTGATTAAGACACTGGCCTCAGTGATGTAAATCTATGTGGGAGACAGTGAAAGGGTTGATGTAGCACATGATGGTAAAAGACAGTATGAACAGAGCAAACTTTTATTATTAGACAGTACTTTGCTGTAAATAGAGCTTCATCAAGTCATTCTACTTAGAGCAAAATATTGTAAATAAATGAAGATTTGCTGTACATAATCTGTTCACTATACTTGTCGGCAAACTTTTTTCATCCAATAGTACTTTAACCCTTAAACTGTCCAAACATAGATCTACGTTCATGTGCGTAGTGCTCCAACCTTGATTTTCCCCATTTGAAAGCATGTAAAAAAAAACGTTGATCTACGTTTGGAGCCCCCCCCCCCCCCGCACATGGACGTAGATCTACGTTTGGACAATTTAAGGGTTAAAGACTGTGTGATTTTGTGGGCAGGTATATTATTGTGGGCATTTTGCCCCCACAAGGATGAAATACTGTAATCTTAAATGTAGTCTAATCAGAAGATGTGAAGTATTTGGAAATAGCAATACTTATGCCAGTACCTGAAGAAAATTGAATGAAGAATCCATTGATTTTCAGGGTGCTTCATGACCACATGAAAAAACTAGCTGCTGTTATCACACCAACCCATAAGGATCTCAGGATACCCAAGGTCAGTTCATCAAACCCCATTGCTTTCTTTTCGTAAAACTGAATAAGCTTTGTTAAAATAAATTTGAAAAGATAAAATTAAGCTCTGTACATACTATACATAAGTGTGAAAATTGAATGATACTGCCCATCCACCTTCATAATGATGTTTTATGTTATAATGCACCAGGTCTGCCTTTTATTCTTATTTGCTTGAATTTAGGGCAATTTGTTCACATTTTCCTTATTTATATACTATGTTTATTATTTAGGCAACTAAAATGCAAGGAGCAAAGGGCTAGTAACCCAATCTCCTGTATATATTACTAAATTTAAAAAGAGAAACTTTAGTTTTTTTTTTTGGACCACCCTGCCTTGGTGGGATTCGGCAGGTTTGTTGAAAGAAAGTAGTAGTAGTTTATTATTTATTTTTCCAAGGGTGATACTATCAAGTCTGCAGTGCACATTAGACCCACCCTGCCTTTGTGGGAAATAAAGAGTATTTTCAAAGAAAATTTTAAGTTCCCTCGGGTATTCCTACAAATACAGTGGACCCCCGGTTAACGATATTTTTTCATTCCAGAAGTATGTTCAGGTGCCAGTACTGACCGAATTTGTTCCCATAAGGAATATTGTGAAGTAGGTTAGTCCATTTCAGATCCCCAAACATACACGTACAAACGCACTTACATAAATACACTTAAATAATTGGTCGCATTGGGAGGTGATCGTTAAGTGGGGGTCCACTGTATGCCAAATTGCTTTGAAACTTTTTATTAAAATTATTGCAGTTACAATTAGAAAAGAGAATTTTTAAAACTGAGTCATGAAAAGAAGTTTCGTAACCCTTTAACTGTCAAACCATTGATCTGCACTTTACTACTAGTACTCATAATATTAAACAATGTTTTTTTATTTTTCTTGTCTGCAAATATGGCACCAGAAGCCTGATAGGCCTAAGCAGTATAGAATGGATCTTAACACACTGCGCAGTATTTAAAAAATCTGGGACCGCTTAGTACCTTGTGGGAGCACCAGTTCAATTGAATGCCAGCTAGAGCAAGCAGCATGGTAAACCCCAGTGATTCACTAATGCCGTATCACATTAACATTTCCTTTTAGGAGGAAAGTAATGTTGACCCCGAGTTTGGTGGCTTTGAGATGGATGTGGCCACAGGTAGTTGAGGAAATATCAGAGACCTAGATAATAACTCTTGTACAACATTTGTGCCACATTCTTTCAGTTTTTGATGCAACAGGTAGTGTCATCCTCCCAGAATGTCCTGTCATCTATGCCCTAAGTAGAGAGAGAGAGAGAGAAAGAAAGTAAGGAGAGAGAGAGAAAGAAAGTAAGGAGAGAGAGAGAGGATTCTGCAACATGTAATACATGTTTGACTGGCTGGCTGCCTGGCTGACTAGATGGCTCTGGCTGGCTGGCTAGCTCTGTCTATCTATCTCTCTCTCTCTCTCTCACTCTCTCTCTCTCTCTCTCTCTCTCTCTCTGTCTCACTCTGTCTGCCTGTCACTGTCTCAGAGAGAACTGCTCATAAACCAGAATCAAGGACAAAGCAAGCTTATTTAGGCACAGGTGCACATTCTTACAAATGTTATACATAATGTAACTTACCCAGGATAACCCCAAAAAGCCAGACAAAGTGCTATGCTGTGCTTGTGGATATGAGGCATAAGCATGAAGGGCAAGTAGTACACATTTTGGCCACGGTTGCATTTTTCCACTTGTTTAAATGTGACAATTCTGCAACATGTGTAATACCTGTTGGTCCATGAGTGGCTCTCTCAGAGAGAGAGAGAGAGAGAGAGAGAGAGAGAGAGACAGACAGACAGACAGACAGACAGACAGACATGATTGTATGTGTGGAACAGTGAGAACAAATAAAAAAACATATGTTAAGGTTATGGGGAGCAGTATACGATCAGCAATATTGAGTGACTGAACCATGTGACACTTTTGTCTGACAGCGTGCTTCAAGGAGTTTTGTATACTCCAGCACTTCTAAAAACATTGCTGGGACCTATAAATAGTTTGTATATATTTCTAGACAATTGTATGTGACCAAGGCAGGTGAACATGTTCACCTGTCGGTATATTTGTGACTCTTTGCTTACTATTTCTGTACTTAATATGTATTAGCGTCAGAACAAAGATTGGCTATAAAATCACAAGAACTACTATAATAATTAACAGAACATAAAAATTATGTAACTTAACCCTTTGACTGTTTCGGTCGTATATACTGTATATGTCTTACGTGCCACCGTGTTTGATGTATTTATATGCATAAATTCTAGAGGCTTCAGATCAAGTGGGAGAAAGCTGGTAGGCCTACATGAGAGAGAATGGGTCTGAGTGGTGGTTGTGCATCCTGTGAAAAAAATCGGGGACTCAGTGGTGCATTGTGGAAACGCCATCTTGGTAGTCCATTTTCACCATGCCTCATGGTAAGAAGTACCTCACTCCTCGGCGGATTGGAGGTCTTTTGTTCCCAATTGATAGCTCTAACAGTGATGGAAGTGCCAGTGAAAGTGAATTTCATGGTTTTGGAGTGGGTGTGACCGAAAGCAGCGCCCAGGATAACGTAATTAGTGATGAAAATCCAGACAACCCACAACCATCCATATCTGGTGCTGGGCTGTCTCATTCAAGTTCATCTGTACCAGGACGAAAGAGGAAAGTATTTGCCCATGTACAAGACTCAGATGTGAGCAGTGAAAGTGATAGTGTAGTGATTTCAAAGCTATTGAAAGCAGTTCTAGTTGCGACAGTGAAGGTGAATATTCTCCAGTGAAGCGGCAGTGTATACGATGTAGCATGCGTTCTGGTAGTGTGTCATATGTTGTTCCAAGGGTAAGGAGTAAATCTCAGAGTACATCCCATGGCCCTACACCACGCACTGATAGTGAAGATGACGATATTGTTAAAATGGGTATGAATGATGTGAGTGAGGCAGCAAGTGGTGATGGCATGAGTCATGTGGCACCAGCAGCGGGCCACGCTACTATCGACGCTGCTAACTCAGCACAACCACAACCAACCTCAACCAACCCCACACTCCCACAACATCCACAACCACCACCTCCACCACCACAACCACCTTTCAATATCCAGAACCCAAGAGCAGACCACATCTGGGATTGGCAGCAAGGTGATAATTTGTTCCCAATCCACACGACTTTGATGAAACACAAAGAGGAATACGGCCATCATGTACACTTGTGAACAATGCTGCTGAACTGGAATGCTTTCAGTTATTCTTCGATGAACCCCTGATGGACATTATTGTCAGGGAAAGCAATACATACTTTGAGTACACTATGGCAAACACAATTCTTTCACCAAGATCACACCTACACCAGTGGAAGGACACAACTGTGGCAGAGATGTATCTGTTCTTTGCCACAATAATGCTTATGCCACATGTGTATAAGCAGTGTCAACACACACTAGTCGACAGACCACCTGATTTCAACCCCAGCTTTCAGTGACATTATACCAGTGAATAGATTTGTGCTACTGTTACATATGCTACACTTTACTGACAAAACAAGGCCTGACAGAAGCGACAGGTTATATAAGATCAGAAATGTGTTTATATACCTGAAACAAAAGTGCTGTATGTGTTTTTATCCCTTCAGGAAGCTTGTTATTGATGAGTCTTTGATTTTGTTCAAAGGAAGACGCTCATTCAAGCAATACATACCAAGCAAGAGGAAATGCTTTGGTATAAAGTTATTTGTACTGTGTGATTGCAAAAGTGCTCTGGTTTTGGATATAATTGTGTACAATGACAGTAAAACATTGCAAGATACCAGGAAGTTGCTGGGTGTGTCTGGTGATGTGGTTAAAACAATGATGGAATCATATCTGGTAAGGGGTATATTTTATATACTGACAACTGGTACACAAGCCCTTTACTCAGTGATTTCTTGCGAGTGAACATGACAGATGTGTGTGGCACAGTGCCTGGAAATCGTAAACATATGCCCAGGTTCGACGCTGGCACTCATAGACGTTATGTGGCAAGCAGAATAGAGAGACCAATGAACCCATTGTAAAACCTGCAGCTGTGATGGATTACAACCTTAACCCTTTGACTGTCGCGGCCGTATATATACGTTTGCGAGGTACCGTGTTTGACGTATATATACTCATAAATTCTAGCGGCTTCAAATCAGGCAGGAGAAAGCTAGTAGGCCCACATGTGAGAGAATGGGTCTGTGTGGTCAGTGTGCACCACATAAAAAAAATCCTGGAGCACGCAGTGCATAATGAGAAAAAAAAAACTCCGACCGTTTTTTTTAATTAAAATGCCGACTTTGTGGTCTATTTTCGTATAGTATTTGTGGTTGTATTCTCGTTTTCTTGGTCTCATTTGATAGATGGAAACTATATTATAGAAATGGAGGTGATTTTGATTAATTTTACTATAAAAAGAACCTGGAAATGGAGCACAAAGTACAGGAAATGTTTGATTTTTGCCGATGTTCAAAAGTATACAAATGATGTCATTGTCCAATAAATGTCAAATAGCCATTCTAATACGCAGTCATGAATGGGTTGATGTAATTTTTACAATTATTACAGTATTGCAGTAGTCTGCATAACAGTAAATCTTCTATTTTTTTGTTTGAATAAAATTTCAAAATAAAAAGCAAGAGTAATATCACAGGGACCTGGAGACATGACTGATGAACAAAGAAAATGTTATTTTAGAGCCAGGAATGTCTGCATTGTTCATTCTGGACCTTATTTTGAAATTGTCGTATTTTTTAATTTTCGTGAAATTGGCCAAATTGCAAATTTCTGACCATGTTATTGGGTAGTTGAAATCGGTAAATGGGCAGTTTCTTGTACTCAATCGATAGAAAAAATAGAGTTCTGAAGAAATAGTTATGAGTTTTTGGTTGACTGGAATAACGGAATTAGCCGAAAATAGGGCCCCAAAGTGGGCGAAATTGCCGATTTTTAAATATCGCCGAAGTCGCTAACTTCGCGAGAGCGTAATTCCGTCAGTTTTCCATCAAATTTCGTTTTTTTGGTGTCTTTACAATCGGGAAAAGATTCTCTATCATTTCACAAGAAAAAATAATTTTTTTTTTTTTCGAAAATTTTGCGACACCAGAAGCAACTTCAGGATTTGGCCCTTCGACAGTCAAAGGGTTAATATATGGTTAGCGGACAAATGTGACATGCAGATTGGGTTTGCTGATTGTGTTCGCAAGAGTTATAAGTGGTACATTAAACTCTTTTTCTATCATCTTGAAATTTCCATGCTGAATACTTATAATACAGTGGAACCTCTACTTGCGAGTTTAATCCGTTTCATGACCTTTGCTCGCAACTGGATTTGCTCATTTGCAGAGTCAATTTTCCTCATTTAAATTAATTGAAATGCAATTAATCCGTTCCAGTGGAATTCTGTACTTCTATAATTTCGCTAATATCAACTCTGCAGATTATTTTATCTATCACAATTCATCTATATGACATAACAAAGAATATGATTAACATAGAAACATGATATATACTCTAGAATGAATAAAATATGTCATTCATGCAGTGGTATGGGCAGTGTCAGTGGTGGACGAGAGTTTGTCTGGAGACCGGGCAAAATACTTCATGAATAATTTCGCTAATATCATATATATGGCTTATTTATCTATCACAGTTCATCTAATATAACATAAACAACATATGAATAAAATAGAAACATGATATATACTCTAGAATGAATAAAATATGTCATTATGTAACAGGTGGAGGCAGCCACAACCGCTCCCTCTTTGTTGTGGTAAACACTGCCATCTAGTGATGGCCTTTGGAAGCTGTCTATTATTATATGTAGTACATTATTATTATATATGTATTATTAATATACATATTATTATTATTATTGATTTATTATTATTATACAATTTTTTTTTTTTTCAACAAGTTGGCCGTCTCCCACCGAGGCAGGTTGACCCAAAAAAGAAAGAAAATCCCCAAAAAGAAAATGCTTTCATCATCATTCAACACTTTCACCACACTCACACATAATCACCGTTTTTGCAGAGGTGCTCAGAATACAACAGTTTAGAAGCATATACGTATAAAGATACACAACATATCCCTCCAAACTGCCAATATCCCAAACCCCTCCTTTAAAGTGCAGGCATTGTACTTCCCATTTCCAGGACTCAAGTCGGACTATATGAAAATAACCGGTTTCCCTGAATCCCTTCACTAAATATTACCCTGCTCACACTCCAACAGATCGTCAGGTCCCAAGTACCATTCGTCTCCATTCACTCCTATCTAACACGCTCACGCACGCTTGCTGGAAGTCCAAGCCCCTTGCCCACAAAACCTCCTTTACCCCCTCTCTCCAACCCTTTCGAGGACGACCCCTACCTCGCCTTCCTTCCCCTATAGATTTATATACTTTCCATGTCATTCTACTTTGATCCATTCTCTCTAAATGACCAAACCACCTCAACAACCCCTCTTCTGCCCTCTGACTAATACTTTTATTAACTCCACACCTTTTCCTAATTTCCACACTCCGAATTTTCTGCATGATATTTACACCACACGTTGCCCTTAGACAGGACATCGCCACTGCCTCCAACCGTCTCCTTGCTGCTGCATTTACCACCCAAGCTTCACACCCATATAAGAGTGTTGGTACTACCATACTTTCATACATTCCCTTCTTTGCCTCCATAGATAACGTTTTTTGACTCCACATATACCTCAATGCACCGCTCACCTTTTTTCCCTCATCAATTATTATACATATTATTATTATATTATTATTATTATTATATAAATAATTTGTAGCTTTTACTCACACAAAAAATATAATATTTACTGTTATTCCTTACTGCAATAATTGTATAAATAATGTTGACCCATTCATGACTGCACATTGGAATGGACAGTGACATCATTTGTTTACTCTGAAACAGCCAAGCAATGGACCATTTCTCCTAGGTTGAGCTCTATTTCAAGGTACTTTTCGTCATGAAAGCAATCAAAATCATATCTATTTCTGTAATATATCTTCTGTTCTATCAAATGAGACCAAAAAAACTAGAACACAACCATAAAAACCATTTGAAATTACTGCTAAGGGGTGGCTAGTTGCTGAGAAGTGAAATCCATTATTTATGCTTAGATTTGTTTCATTTTTGGTGTACGTTAAGAAGCATCTTTCCATCCTACATTGCCCAAGTTTCAATAAGATAGTCCAACAAACAAATGAGATACAATTCCCGAGATCAAGAGCAAGAGCCCCTCACCAGTGTCAAGGAACCTGCCTTGAGGTCTGCTCACTTTTGGAAATTTTGGTCGTGTATGGAAGCAAAAAATCGACCCATCGACTGCTCGTATTTGGAAAAACTTGCACGTGGACACGCTCGCAAGTAGAGGTTCCACTGTATATATAAAGGAGGGGTTCGGGATATTAGCAGTTTGGAGGGATATGTTGTGTATATCTTTGAGGATTTTCTTTCTTTTTGGTTCACCCTGCCTCGGTGCGAGACAGCCGACTTGTAAAAAAAAAAAAAAAAAAAAAGTTGAAGACCAACAACAAACACAAATATGGTAAATTTTCTTTGTCAGTCATCAGACAAATAATATTCAAGTACCAAGGAACAACACTTGCAATAGACCAGCACCCACAAAATTATCAACACATGCCCTCTCATCTGAGGCCTGGTGATCACTACCCCATACCACTGCCTGCTACTGCTTTCAAGAAAAATGCTCAGAAGAGGTGTTATGTCTGTGCACATACCACAAAATGCCCACAGAAACACAGAGACACTCATTTTATGTGTGAGGAGTGTAAAACACCATTGTGCATACACCCATGTTTCAAAGAATTCCACAAGCTACAGCAGTTCTAGGAAAGTGTCCAGTGATTGTACATATGTATATGTATATTATAGAACAATCGTAATAAACAATTTTTTATATTTTGTGTAAACAAGTTTTGTAAACAATATGATGATACTAGTGTTTTCGCTATAATTGTGTTAAATTCAACGAATGTATATATGAACATTGCACCATACTTTGGTCTCGCAGGCCACATAAGTTATGTGAAAAAATAAAATAGTGAAAAAAACAAGAAACCTTCGAATACAAATAAACCAAAGTTTACCGGGTGAGCGGCAGTCGCCGCTGTTGCCATATGCAGCTCATTTTCTGCCAACTTCACGCCTCTATATCTCGGTAAGTACTGATGGCAAAAATTTTTTTTTTTTTTGGACTAAAACAATCAGAAAAATAATCTTAACATTTTCATACGAAAAAATAATTTTTTTTTTCGAATATTTTTCGACACCAGGAAACCCTTCAGGATTAGGGGTTTCGACAGTCAAGGGGTTAAAAAAATGAGAAAAAGAGGTATAGTGGCAACATTTCTGTAAGTGGCAGGACTCCATGTTGCCATCAAATGAGCATCCAGTGCCAACTTCACCACCTTGTATCTCAATAAATACTGACTAAAAAAAATTTTTTTTTGGTCTTGTTACTCACAGAAAATTGCCCTTTTTTTTTTCCAAAATATTTGGAGCACTAGCAGTAAAACGTAGATTAACATTTGGACAGTTAAAAGGTTAATGATGTACAGCCTCTCCTCGCTTAGCGACATACTGGTTTACTGACGACTCACACTTATGACGGGCTCTGACCATACCTAAATAATGTATATTAGAGCTGATTTCCTCTATTCTGTTTATTACAATATACAGTACACTACTGTATAAACATTTCAAAATATACCAGAAATGTTATAAGTGATGCAAAGATGACATTAAAACAATATCAGAGATGGTTGACACAAACCCACTACATTATAATATGCTCCTTAGCGATGAATTTGTTTACCAACGTGGGCTTAGGAACAGAACTCCATCGTTAAGTGAGGAGAGGCTGTAATTTATTGCCTCATAATTTGGAAATACGTATTGGAATATTGTGGGAATGAGCTCCAGCTCTTGATACTTACTGTTAACTTTCAACCAGTTTGATTGAACCCTTGTCTTTTTTTAATCCTCCATGAAGTCTGTTTCTGCCGTATCATTGCTTGGCTCATTCCTCTTCTCTATCACTCGTATATGGAAGAAATTCATCCTGATATTCCTGTGGCTTATTTGGGTGTGTAATTTCCAGCCATACCTTCTTGTTCTTTTAGCATCCTTGGTACAGAGTCTTTATCCTGGTTTCTCTCAGAAAGTTTTGTTTGTATTTTAACAGTTGTACCAGTATGAATGCCCATGGCCCAGTGCTCAGGCTGAGATTGTGTGCATCAGTGCATACAAGACTCCAGGAGATAAGCTGCAGTGTGTTGTAAGAGCTTCCCAAACAATCATGAACTTGTTATCCCTTGCACATGATCAGTCGGTCCCTGCAGCCGATGACTTCATGCCTGTCTTAGTCTATGTGCTTATCAAGGTATGTTTATATTTATTTTTTAATAATATTTTCAAAATTTTTAAATGTTATTTACTTAAAAATAAGATATGTAAGGGTATCACAAAAAATATGATTTACTAAACCATTTCTTAGATAGCTATAACTTGGTCATAAAACAAAAAATGCACACATGCACCATCATGGTGTGTTTAATTATCTATTATAGTTGAGGAAGTAAAATTATGCTTGTAGTGACCCTTTTCCCTATAATTACTTTGTTATATAAATTTTAATAGTGCTTAGTAGAACACTACCTTCTCTTAGATCATATTCCCACTATTTACCACTAAGTGGTATTTGCTGATGTCTTTTCCTTATTTAGATTGTGGTTTTTGTATATACACTCCTTAGGGAAGGGGCTCTTAATCCAAGAAGCTGGCATTACTTTCTGTTTTCTTAGATCATATCTGATTGTCTCCTGTTTCCCAGGCACTATATAACCCCAGTGGGTTTAGTGTTTGTCCCTGATTAATCATAAATATGTTCTATATAAGCATCCTTATAAGTAATGAATTAACTTTTTTTTAACAGGCAAATCCACCAGCACTTCTGTCCACTGTGCAGTACGTTAATCTCTTCTTTGAGAAAAGGCTGAAAGGAGAGGACCAGTATTGGTGGACACAGTTTTGTGCAGCTATCGAGTTCATCAAGACTATGGACTACATGCTTTGACAGGCTGATTGTATGTCCGAGCTAGGACATTGTATGTGCCATTATTAACCCCTCATCTTCAGCTGTAATCTTGCTAAAAATGGGATCAGCTGCTTGATGTACATAAAATTCATGATAGCTCATTTTCAAAGGCTGTGTGAGGATAGCCAATGAGATGTTGCACAAATCTCGGTAATTCTCAAAAGATTGAACAAGAATTGTGTCCAGTATCAGGTAATTGAACCTGCTTCAGGCTGTGTTAACAGTAGCTTTTTCATCATTGAAAAATGTATGAATCTGAGTACATGCACTGTTGTTATCAGTGTTGAAGGGGTGAGTCATTTTGTAAAGCCTAACAAATGTGTCATTGTTCTGCATTTTAAGATAAATTTATTAAATTCATTGGATGCTTGTAGTTTTTTTAATAATATAAATAATTATTATTACCATTGGTTTGTCTGTCAGCTAGCAGTTAGGCAAGATTTAATTATAATTGATGTTGGAAAATATCAGTGCTTATTTGTACTATTATAGTTTCTAAGCATATTTAAATGATTTTTATATAGTTTTTTTTTCTTTTAATACAATAAAATCATTATTTACATCTGACAATATGCACTCCTTTATACAAGAAGCCAGCTTTCACAGAATCTTTTCCTGATTACGTACATGGTAAGAGGTCATCTCACATTCCGCCATCCTTGCTTCTCCATATTACTGGTTAATGCAGTATTGGGGCAGCAGTATTGCTAAAGGTATTGTTTCCTAGCCAGAGAGATGCAGGGTCATATCTGCAGCTGCACAGGGTTTGTGGAACATTATTTACTGTTGTATGCAATGAATCAACAACTCCATCAGGCTAATATCCAAGACTAACTTTACTCCCCCCATATGGTTGCCACTTTACAACAATTTAGGAGACAGCATAAAAGGATGATAGTTTTAAAATACATTAATTCCTCTGCAGATTTAAATGGTTGTGTAGATCTTATGGTTGTAGACAAATACAGTAATATATAGGGATTATTTAAAGGCCTTAATGCCTTGTAGAGGAATGATATACTGGATCACTAATGTATATTTCTCTGTGTTTATAAGTAGTTTGATCAGGGATCTAGTTATGTAGGTATTTGCAGGTCTTTTTAGAAAGAGTTTATACTCTCACTGTATAATTTGATCATAAGTGAGTTTTCCTTTGCTTTGTGCATGGCTTTCCGGTAATTATTGTACAATGTCATTTTTGTATTATTTATGTTCGAAGAGGGATGACAGAATTTATTGAAAGACCAGTATATATTTGTGTGGCTGTTAAGGATTTATTTTTGAAGTAGTACTCACCAAAGACAAAATTGTAAACAGCTCCTGAAAAAGTTTTGTCGTTACTATATTTTACAAATCATATCTGGTTATGTTTCTATTAAAAACGAAACTGAATTTTAGAATTTGCTTTTAAAAACTTTCATAAATTGTGTTTTCAGTAATTTTTTTTTTTTTATGAGCAAACCTTCCTCTGATAATTTGAAATAACGTAGAATAATTCTGGTCTCAGTGAAGCAAATTCCAACTAATTAGAGAAGTTTGCTCCTAATACACACACTGTACATGGCTTCATGGCAGGTGATTAACTCTTCATTGTACATGCTCACTTAATAGTCTTAAAAATGTTCTTCCAAAGAAAATTTGAGTTGCATCTACTCATTAATTGTATGATAATATCTATATTAAACCAAAAATTTAATACTTTTTCTCTCTCATTATATATATATATATGTATGTGTGTATATATATTTAATTATATGCATGTCATGCAGAATAGGTAAAATTGGTCAATTAGCAAGAACTCATTTAAAATTAAGTCCTTTCTAAAACTTTCTCTTATACTTTTAAAGATATATATTTTTTCATTTATGTTATTGTAAAAATTAATAATTTTGTACCAAAAGAACCTTAGAAAACTTGCCTAACCTTATTATAACAAGTAAAATTTAATTTAGCCTAATCCAACTAAACATATTTTAGATAAGTTCACAATAACTTAATAATAAACAAACACAATGAAATATATATATTTTTTTTTGTTAGATTCAGAATGATTTTCGTGAAATTATTGCATACACAGATTTTCACTTGCCTTAATTGGCAAGAAGAGTGTTGCTATGTAAGCCAGAATCACAAATTTTACCTATTTGGCATAACATTTTATATATATATATATATATATATATATATATTTTTTTTTTTTTTTTTTTTCAACAAGTCGGTCGTCTCCCACCGAGGCAGGGTGACCCAAAAAAAGAAAGAAAATCCCCAAAAAGAAAATACTTTCATCATCATTCAACACTTTCACCACACTCACACATTATCACTGCTTTTGCAGAGGTGCTCAGAATATAACAGTTTAGAAACATATACGTATAGAGATACACAACATATCCCTCCAAACTGCCAATATCCCAAACCCCTCCTTTAAAGTGCAGGCATTGTACTTCCCATTTCCAGGACTCAAGTCCGACTATATGAAAATAACCGGTTTCCCTGAATCCCTTCACTAAATATTACCCTGCTCACACTCCAACAGATCGTCAGGTCCCAAGTATCATTCGTCTCCATTCACTCCTATCTAACACGCTCATGCACGCTTGCTGGAAGTCCAAGCCCCTCACCCACAAAACCTCCTTTACCCCCTCTTTCCAACCCTTTCGAGGACGACCCCTACCCCTCTTTCCTTCCCCTATAATTTATATGCTTTCCATGTCATTCTACTTTGATCCATTCTCTCTAAATGACCAAACCACCTCAACAACCCCTCTTCTGCCCTCTGACTAATGCTTTTATTAACTCCACACCTTCTCCTAATTTCCACACTCCGAATTTTCTGCATAATATTTACACCACACATTGCCCTTAACAGGACATCTCCACTGCCTCCAACCGTCTCCTCGCTGCTGTATTTACCACCCAAGCTTCACATCCATATAAGAGTGTTGGTACTACTATACTTTCATACATTCCCTTCTTTGCCTCCATAGATAACGTTTTTGACTCCACATATACCTCAACCACCACTCACCTTTTTCCCCTCATCAATTCTATGATTAACCTCATCCTTCATAAATCCATCCGCCGACACGTCAACTCCCAAGTATCTGAAAACATTCACTTCTTCCATACTCCTCCTCCCCAATTTGATATCCAATTTTTCTTTATCTAAAATCATTTGATACCCTCATCACCTTACTCTTTTCTATGTTCACTTTCAACTTTCTACCTTTACACACATTCCAAACTCATCCACTAACCTTTGCAATTTTTTCTTTAGAATCCCCATAGACATTTTCATCAGAAAAAGTAATGGTCAATTTCCCCATTTTGAATTTGTTTCCCCCATAATTTTTTAATATTAATATATATATAATATTTTTTTTTCCAAATTCGGCATCTCCCACCGAGGCCGGGTGACCCAAAAAAGAAAGAAAACCCAAAAAGAAAAATTTTAATCATCATTCAACACTTTCACCCACTCACACATTATCATGTTTTTGCGGGTGCTCAGAAAAACAGCTTTTTGAAGCATATACGTATAAAGATACACAACATATCCCTTTAAACTGCCAAAATCCCAAACCCCCCCTTTAAAGTGCAGGCATTTTATTTCCCCTTTCCCAAATCAAGTCCGACTAATGAAAAAAACCCGGTTTCCCTAAATCCCCTTTACTAATATTACCTGCTCACATCAAGAGTTCTCAGGGCCCCAAAAAGCCATTTATCTCCTTCCTCCTTTCTAACACTCACACTTGTGGGAAATCCCGGCCCCTCACCCACAAAACTTTTTCCCCCCCCTCCACCCCTTTTGAGGGGCCCACCCCCCCTTTTTCCCCCACGATTTAACGCTCCCGTGTCATTCTACTTTGATCCTTTTTTTCTGAGTGACTAAAAACCCCTTCAAAAAACTCCTCTTTAGCCCTTGACTAATCTTTTTTAACTCTTTAAACCCCCTAATTCCACACTCCAAATTTTTTGCATAATATTTGCACCAACATTGCCCTTAGACAGGGCTCTTCTTGCCCCAAACCCCCTCCTTTCTGCGCTTTACAACCCAAGTTTTACACCCATATAAGACGTTTGTACCACTGTGCTTTCATACATTCCCTTCTTTGCCTCCATAGATAACATTTTTTGTCTCCACATATACCTCAATGCACCACTCACCTTTTTTCCTTCATCAATTCTGTGATTAACCTCATCCTTCATAAGCCCATCCGCTGACACGTAAAATTCCCAAATATCTGAAAACATTCAATTCTTCCATACTACTTCTTCTCCAATGTGATATTCAATTTTTCTTTATCTAAATCATTTGATACCCTCATCACCTTACTCTTATCTATGTTCAGTTTCAACTTTCTACCATTACACACCCTCCCAAACTCGTCCACTAACCTTTGCAACTTTTCTTTAGAATCTCCCATAAGCACAGTATCATCAGCAAAAAGCAACTGTGTCAACTCCCATTTTGTATTTGATTCCCCATAATTTAATCCCACCCCTCTCCCCAGCACCCTAGCATTTATTTCTTTTACAACCCCATCTATAAATATATTAAACAATCATGGTGACATTATACATCTCTGTCTAAGACCTACTTATACATCCTAACACACCCTACACATCCTAACCTGAGCCTCACTATCCTCATGAAAACTCTTTACAGTTTTTAGTAACTTACTACCTATTCCATATACTTGCAACATCTGCCACATTGCTCCTCTATCCTCTCTATCATATACCTTTTCTAAATCCATAAATGCAATGAAAACTTCTCTACCTTTATCTAAATACTGTTCACATATATACTTCAATGTAAACACTTGATCTACACATCCCCTATCCACGCTAAAGCCTCCTTGCTCATCCGAAATCCTACTTTCTGTCTTACTTCTAATTCTTTCAATAATAACCCTACCATACACTTTTCCTGGTATACTCAGTAAACTTCTTTTCTTTCTTTCAACAAACCGGCTATATCCCACCGAGGCAGGGTGGCCCCCCAAAAAAAAAGTTTCTCTTTTTAAATATAGTAATTTATACAGGAGAAGGAGTTACTAGCCCATTGCTCCTGGCAATTTAGTCGCCTATTACGACATGCATGGCTTACGGAGGAAGAATTCTGTTCCACTTCCTCATGGAGATAAGAGGAAATAAACAAAAACAAGAACTAGAGAGAAAATAGAAGAAAACCCAGAGGGGTGTGTATATATAAGCTTGTACATGTATGTGTAGTGTGACCTAAGTGTAAGCAGAAGTAGCAAGACATACCTGAAATCTTACTTTTTTTTTGTTAACAAGTCGGCCGTCTCCCACCGAGGCAGGGTGATCCAAAAAGAAAGAAAATCCCCAAAAAGAAAATTCTTTCATCATCATTCAACTCTTTCACCTCACTCACACATAATCACTGTTTTTGCAGAGGTGTTCAGAACGCAACAGCTTAGAAGCATATACGTATAAAGATACACAACATATCCCTCGAAACTGTCAATATCCCGAACCCCTCCTTTAGAGTGCAAGCATCGTACTTCCCATTTCCAGGACTCAAGTCTGGCTATATAAAAATAACCGATTTCCCTGAATCCCTTCACTAAATATTACCCTGCTCACACTCCAACAGATCGTCAGGTCCCAAATACCATTCGTCTCCATTCACTCCTATCGAAAACGCTCACACACACCTGCTGGAAGTCCAAGCCCCTTGCCCACAAGACCTCCCTTACCCCTTCCTTACATGTTTATAAGACAGAAAAAAGGCACCAGCAATCCTGCCATCATGTAAAACAATTACAGGCTTTCGTTTTGCACTCGCTTGGCAGATGGTAGTACCTCCCTGGGTGGTTGCTGTCTACCAACCTCCTACTACTACTACTATTTATATGTGTGTGTGTGTGCGTTTGCAAAGCAACCATGGGTGGAGCAGAATGATAGCTCTAGGCCTTTCATGTTGCTGTCAACACATCATCGGGAGCTTGCAGAGTTGCAGAAAAAAGTAGGATGTCCAAGCTAATACGATCCCAGAGAATGTATTCACTGGAGTGAGGGAAGGAGGGAGGGAGAGAGAAGGGCAAGAATTACCCCCAGGCATACCAGTGCCCCTAGCCAGAAGGATGAATATTATAGCATTAGAATAGTAATAGTAACCTAAACGAAAGTAATGTGGCAATAATAAAAATTTGGTCATATTCTGCCATAAATAATTTTACATACATAATTATATTGTCAGTGATATAGAAGTCACTGGTAATTATGGAGTAACTTTCCTTCGGCAAGTCCATTTAAAGGGACAAGAAAACAGAAACATTTAAAGGGGAGACTTCTGAAAGTTATACAAAGGAAAATGGGGCTCATTAAAATACTCATTTAAAGTGGGAGGCATCTGTAATTACAAGGAAGAGGCAGACTGTAAACTTCCATTCTTAGATGTGTTGATACACCCAGTTGATAAAAAGTTTAAGTTTGCAGTATATAGGAAGGCCACCAATGTCTGCTCACACATTCACTACTATTCCAACCAAGAGACGAGAGTTAAAAGGAGTGTATTTCTTACTATGTTTCTGAGAGCCTATAGTGTGTACAGTCTGGAGTTCCTAGATGAAGATATTAGGAAAATATTTGACCTTGGCATGAAACTGCAGTATCCTAAGATGTTTGTGGAATCTGCCTTGCTGGCAGCTAAGAAAACTTGTTATAGAACAGAGCCTAAGATAATACCTCACACCAAGAAACATGCTGGTCCTCCCATACTACGAGAATTTATCTATCCTGCTGAATGCTCGTAAAAGATTTAATATACAAGTTTTATTTAAAAATTCATGGACTGTTAGAAGCATTCTGGTAAAGAATTCACCCCAACAGCATGCTGGTGGCTGTAACGGTTGCAGTCTCTCCTATTTAGGACAGACAGGAAAACCATTAAAAGTGAGAATTTCACAACACTGTTATCGATACATATAGCACTGGAATCGAACACAATTTTCAACCGTATTAGAGCTTGTAATAACCCTGCAAATTGGCAGAAAGCAAGAGTCATCTTCCCTTGTACCTCTTGGCTTGAAAGGAATATTGTAGAATCAGCAATTATTATGCATGATAAGCATTCATTATATAATAGTGACAGGTTGTTCAAATGAGATGTGCTTTTAGTAGAGGCAATAGTACACAGTCAAAAATTGGGCTCTTATATGCATTGTCTTAAATGTAGTGCCACATCTAGGAATTAGGGCCTATTTTTCATGCAGTTTCTGGAGGTTGAATCAGAGTTTGCCTCAGATACCTCCCTCTCTAAATAAGTTTATTTTAATGAGCCCCATTTTCCTTTGTAAAACTTTGAAGAAGACTTCCCTTTAAATGTTTCCGTTTTCTCGTCCCTTTAAATGGACCCGCTGAAGGAAGGTTACTCCATAATTGCCAGTGACTTCTATATCACTGACCATATAATTATGTATGTAAAATTACTTACATCATAGCGGAATATGACCGAATTTTTATTATTGCCACGTTACTTTCGTTTAGGCTACTATTACAGTATCTATGCTTGTGGGATTTTTCTAATGCTATAATATTCATCCTTCTGGCTATGGACACTGGCATGCCTGGGGGCACTTCTTGCCCTTCTCTCTCTCCCTCCAGTGAATACATCCTCTGGGATCGTATTGGCTTGGACGTCCTCCATTTTCTTCAACTTTGCAA